TAAAACATTCACGTGCTAAAAGGAACTCCCGTACACTGTTGGTGGGATTGTACATTGGTGTGTCCACTATAAGAAGCAATATGGAGGGTCCTCAGAAAATTAAGAATAAGGCTGCCATGTGATCCAGCAATTCCTCACTTGGGTATTTATCCGAAGAATATGAAAATACTAATTTGAAAAGATATATGCACCCCTATGTTCATTGCAGCATTATTTATAATAGCGAAGATATGAAAACAACCTAAGTGTCCATCAGTGGATGAATGGTTAAAGAAGTTGTGGCATATCTATACAATAGGATACTATTCAGCCATAAAAAGATGAAATCCTGCCATTTGCGACAACAGGGATGGACCTTGAGAGTATTATGCTAAATAAGTCTGACGGAAAAGGACAGAAACCATATGATTTCACTCATTTGTGGAATACAAAACAAAAAAGAAACAAGTGAACAAACAACACAAAACAAAAATAACTCATAGACACAGTCAACACGTTGGTGGTTACCCGAAGGGAAGTGGGATGAAGGGAGGGCAAAATGGGTAGAGGGGGTCAGATGTATCGTGATGGATAAAAACTAGACTTTTGGTGGATGGCGCCCTATAGGAATATGGGTTTTGAATTACAATGTTGTCTACCTGAAACCTATATAAAGTTATTAACCAATGTTTTCTCAATAAAAATAAAATAATAAAATATTCATGTGCTACTTCTGGGAAGCTTTAGAGCAAGGACCCAAATCCTGGACCTGCCCAGAAACCCAAGCCATGCTCCACTGGGTAATTTGGCCTCTATCAATGGAATACTCTTTATAGAGAATTCTATTACTTTAATTTTTTTAAAAAATAATTCAAATATTACAACACCAATATGTAAAAAAATTAAACAGCATATTAAGGAAAAGGGCCAAAATTGAGCCACATGTAGTATATAACACACGAAAACAAAATATACGGTAAGATCCAGTTTTGTGTGGCAATGCATTGACCAATATGATTTGGAATGTATGCATCTATAACCTCATTATAAAAATGTGTAACGGAAAATATTAGCACGCACACATGCTCACATACACGTTCCCCTTCCTCTGAGACACAGGCCATGCATACCGTCTGTCTCAAAGCTGAGCACCCACAGACATATCTGTAGACCACAACTTTCTCCCTACACACACCAGAGTTCCAGGGAGATATGTCTGTTGGATACAAGGAAGGTTTCTTCTCATTTCTGTAACCACTGTTTATAAAAGCTTCCTTTCCTGACATCAGAGAAGCTATAGTTTTAGCGTTAGTCAACAGGAAGGACTTTGCTCTCTTTCCAACTGTACACTAATGAAAAAATATTAATTTTGCAAAAGAAAAAATTTCAAATCACAGTAGTTTTACAGAGTATGTCATGAAATGATTCTGCGGCCTAAATTTGTCTGGAGTAAATAGAGGAGGGTAGAAATGTATAAGATGGACGTATGCTCTAAAGTGCTTTGGCTGATGATCCCAAATCTACATTACATACATTCATTTAACACATATTAATTAGGCCTCTGTTATATGCCAGACATTGCCAACTCAGAGTGACCCCTAATCTGAAATCTATAATCCAATTTTTCCATCTAGCCCAAGACAGATTTCTCCACTTGGTCAAAGACGCTCGGGCCCACCCAAGCAGGAGGGACTAGCTCCTGAGAACGAAATATCATCTCCTGTCTTCTCACTAATCTATTCTTGAGACCTGAAAGTTTACCATTGAAAGAGAACCACTGCAGGAGCTGGAGAATAACTTAGGACGTGAATACAGACCAATAGGCAAGGGCACATTTCCTGTTCTACCACTTACTTGGCTGAGAAATCCTGAAAATTGTAATTAACACCTGTGAGCCCAATATTCATGACCTGAAAAGGGACCATGAATACACTCCTCCATGGGGCATCTGTGAGGAGGTCAAAGAAATCTAGTGAGTCTGCCCAACACAGAGCAAATGTTGGTTGCTGCTGGGCAGGTATGGGTTTGCTTCTCACTCCATTCCTTCCCTACCGTAGCAGGGATGCCGTGCCATGTACTCAGTGGCATAGCAATGATGTAGGCAGAATTCCAAAATGACCCAGAAAATAACCATATGAACACACATGATATCTTAAAGGATACTCACAATGACTCTTTCTTTCTGGGAGGATCAGCTAAAACCTGCTGGAGCTTGAGTGGGAACTTAGCAGCCAGGGCGAGAGGCACTAGCAGCTTTATAATACTGTTGTCATCTTTGATTCTGGAAGTATGACTGACTGTGAGACAGGAATCACACTGAGATGCCAATGTTCAGTGTGTGCGTGTGTGTGTGTGTGTGTGTGTGGTACCTCTGTGGCTTTTATCACACGCCCACTCTCCTGTGAAATTCTCCAAACAAGGCCATACTTGAGATCACGTTTGTCTGAATCGCCTTGAGGAGGGAGGGCTCTGGCCTTGTTTATGCATCCGACCTACTTAGTTGGTCATTCTGGAGATTGCTGTAGCTGTTAGCTTGCTCACTTTTACACTTTCCCTCGGTGACGTTATTTCTGAAGTAATGTCGATTCTCGAAAATGACTCTGGCTCATGCTATATGCCATACATATACCCCGTACCGTTACTCCTCCCTTTAATGTTTGATTTTTTACTTTTATCGATGGATTTTCATGAAAATGCGTTGCTTTCCTGCTGTTAGTATTGTTTAATAGGATCATGAACTCATGGTTTTTTTTTTTTTTTTTTAACCATTGTTATATTGTTTTGAGCAGAGGAGTGGAATAATTTGACTTCGCTCCACTGCTGGGTTGAAAAACAGATGGTGAGCAGGCAAGGATGAAAGCAGAAGGACTAGCTGGAAGGCAGCATAATCCAGGAGATGTATGTCGGTGTCTTGGCCAAGGCGGTAGCGATAGAGGTGGTGAGAAGTGACTAGATTCTGGATATACATTGGGAGCGGGACCAAGAGAATTGCCTGATCACTGGGACGTGCAGTACTCCAGGTTGCCTCTAAGTTTTGGGGACTGAGCAAGTGGCATCTCTCGGTCTCATGCTCTATCCACGTTCAGTTTCACTTCCAGGGAAGGTGCCAAAGGTTGTGAGTTGCAGGATTGTCCTGACAGTGGGCCACACGGTGACAGCAATGACATCCCAAAGGAGTTAACATGAGCCTTGGTTGTCATCAGTACACCGTGGAGTGATCAGCAGGGAACGGAGTTTTACTCATAAGTGGTTCTGAGTCAACACAGAGTAATTATTGTACAAGACGTAAAACATACAAACCTAGAAAACCTTAGGTATTAAAACCAAACAGAAGCTGGTTTCTAACAGTCTAATTCCCATGATCCTCCCTCTCTGCAAATCGCTAGTGTTGTTGTCTGCTAGTACACTGTTTCAGTTGAATGTGGTAAAAATAAAACACCCTTAGTGAATCCAGATATGGGAGACGGAACTGAGACTATCTTATTTCTGTAGATGCCAAAAAGCTTCCAAATCTTTTCATACATACATTGGTGAGAGCATCTGCAGTGGGGTTGGGTGGGTGGGGGGTTGTGAACAGCAATACAAGTCCTAGGAGTGAATACAGGGTGCAATACAACCAAGACACTTTATAAGCATACCTGTGGCTACAATGCCCAATAAAGTAGATGTCAGAGCAAAGAAAATGAATAAGTGACAAAGAGAAGCAATACATAACGATAAAAGGGTCAATCCACCAGAGAGACATAAGGATCCTAAGTGTGTACACACCAAACAACAGGGCCTGAAAGTACATGAAGCAATGACTGCTGGAGCTGAAAGGAGAAATAGCCAAGGCCATAATAAGAGTTGGGGCCTGCAACACTCCCTCTCAGCAAGGCGTAGAATTACTAGAGGGAAGATCAACAGGGATATAGGAGATATGAATAGCACAATAAACTAATGGGATCTACTTGACGAATAGAACTCTGCACCCAATGGCAGCAGAGTACAATGTTTTTCAAGTGTCTGTGTTACACTCACTAAGGTAGACCATCTTCTGGACCTTGAAACAAGCCTCCACAAATTTAAAAAGATTTGAAATCACGCAGAGTATGTTCTCTGACTACAGTGGAATCAAATTAGGAATCAATTTAACTTTAGGTGGTGAACACACAATGCAGTATACATATGACATATTGAATTGTACACTTGAAACCTGTATGATTTTATTAACCAACGTCACCCCAATAAATTTAATAAAATAAGTAAGAAACTGAGTAAGTGAGTAAATAGAAAAGCAAGAAAGAAAGAGAAAAGAAGACCCTTAGAGACTTGGAAATGGTAGTTGATACATCATTCCAGTTCGTCATTCAGACTGTTGTTATAGAAGAGCTGATGTTAGACTGAGTTGTCTCCTGAGCTGAAAAGCATTTCCGACTGGGCAAAGAGAAATCTCACGCTGGATAATTCAGAGTATTGTTGAGAGCAAGGCTGGAGGGAGGGAGAGAGTTTAGGGGGCTGTTACCTCTGCTCTACCTGACATTAAAGCTTGTCCTGTGCTGGCAAGGGAAGCACAGCTTGCTGAGTATTAGTGGAATCAGTTTGGTGGCTGACTGGGTTTGGGAAGCATAACAGAGTTTGCCTCCCAGGTGCTGTTGTAGTTGTTAGAGAGGCCTGAGAGAGCCAAGATTCTCATGCCTTCCTGGTGTATGGCTGGTGTCCAGTCTATCCCATGGATGCATGCACCTCCGTTCTTTATAAATCGTGCTCATTTTAAAAAGATTCAACACAGGTACCTTCTCCTCCTCCTTCTCCTCCTCCTCCATCTCCTCACCCAGCACGAGCTCTCCCATGATAGCACCAGCTGTCGGTAAGCCTCTCCTACTAGACAGGCGAGGAGTTTCCTTTTGGGGTTTGTGTGATTGGTCCCTAAGGGACGTTGGCACTTTGCTTGCCCTACCCTGGTGTTAGCCTAAGTCGTGGTACATGGTAAGTGGGCCACAGATGTGTCTTCAAACTTGTATTTTTGTTCCCCTTTTCAGAAGACAATGATCGTGGTAGCTCACCTCAAGGAAGCAAGAAAGGTTGGGGTTCTTTCCGAGGTAATTTTGACAAGAGGAACCCTCGTTATGAACGTGGTGGATGCGAGCGTCAGCCTTACCACTTCCAGGAGGATGATGGAAATGAGGGGTTGAGAGCTGTCCAGGAGGAGCCCCGAGTAAGACAGTAAGTGACCAGGCAGCCTGGTTTGCATGTAGCGGCCCCCAAGAGTATGCAACTCTTTCACTCTCCATGGTCTTCTTCTGTCACTGGAAAAGTGAAGACTGCTCGAAGTGAAATCATGGTTGAGCAGTCCTAAGTGTAGTCCTGGTGTTGGAGAGGCGAGGGCGCATAGAAGACTTCTTAACATTTATAGCCTTTCTCCTCTTTACACCCTCCACCCCCAGCAGCACTCCCTATTCTCTCCAATGCAACAAGAGGAGAGTGAAAGTGCATATTGAAGGCCGTATCCAGATTACTGTTTGGAGAGATACAAAATCTCTTGAGGGAGCAGTGGGGGAGAACACACAAAATGGAACCTTGGGGAACTGGTTCAAGATTACAGTAAGTTTTCTGAAAACATTTATGGAATGTCCAGGAGAGAAAGGTCAGGTGGAGTCATGTTGTTCTCATGTTAAGATGCTAGGTACTTTGCTTGGGACAGTGTATAATCTTTCCTTTTTATTACTAGGACTTAACATTCTTGTTTATCTGAGTGCAAATTCAGAAAAACAATATAAAGGAGACAGGTTGACTGTAGGGAGAATGGAAGAGACTGTCTAAAGGCAAAGGTGGAACTACTGACAAAAGATGGAGCAACTCCACTCTGGATTGTCTCAGTTTGGCTCAAGCTGAGTGTAGGAGATGGGGGGCCAAGGCTCTGGAGACCTTGTCAGGGGCAAGCAGTGTGTGCACTAGGTAGGATCTCCTGGAAATTTATGAAAGGAAGATCACATCCAACACATCAAGTTGATTATTTGTATGAGAGCTTTGAATGGAGATATAAGGGATTAAGGAATTCCATATTTGGCAAAAACATAAGAAGTCATGACTGCAGTCCCTGTTTTAGAAAGCCTTTAGAGTCCAGTAGGAGGTCAGAAAAGAACACTGTGTTAGATCTGTTCTCTGACCTTATTTCCATGTTGTTCCCCCTCTCTACTTTTCTTTCTTTTCACCTTCAGGTTCCTGGTGGGATAAAGTATGACAAGACATGGCTAATTAATTCAATCCAGAGCCTTTGCAGTGTCCCCTTCACTCCAGTGGATGTAAGACAGGATGTTGAAGTCAGATGGGGGAACATGGGGAAGCGGAAGAGACCTGGCTCAGCCGCAGCCATTGCCCTTTGACACTATTGTTGTTTCAATCCCTGTAGTTCCACTATGTGAAAAAACGGGCCCAGTTCTTTGTACAGGATGCTAGTATTGCCTCTGCATTGATGGATGTCAGCTACAAGATTTGTGACCAGGAGAACCGAAAGGTGCGTGCCAAGGGCATTACCTGTACCTAGTCCTGGGGCAGGAGGACAGGACAGTGGCTGGTCATCTTCTTTGGAACTATAATGACTGTCCATAACCCACCTCGACTTCCTGCAGATAGCTATCTTTGTCAATACTTCTGCGGTACCCTCCTATGTGCGGAATAAGTTGGAGCCAAAGGAAATGGAGCAGTTAAAGGTAATGGAGATTCAGTGTACAGCTGTGTCCACACCCAGACCTAACTTGTCTTTCTCCAGCCCCCGATTTCCCTGTCACCACCACAGCCTCAGAGTGGTTGTTTCCATTTCCCTCTACAGCTGACCATGAACAAACGGTATGATGTCTCCCAGAAAGCTCTTGACCTTCATAAGCTCCGCTTTGACCCAGGTATGGGTGACAGCAGTAATTCTATGGCCAGTGAGGGCAGAGTGGTCTGCCTGGTGGGGAGACTTAGAGCTGATAATGCGGGAGGGGTTGGTGCTGGCCCTGGACCCCTCTCAGCTTTCTGATTTCCTCCTCTCGGCTTCTTGAAGACTTGGTGGGCCTTGACATTGATATAATCTTAAATAGAAGAAATTGCATGGCTGCTACCCTACAGATCATTGAAAAGAACTTCCCTGAGGTGAGACCTTAGGCCTAGTGCTGGTGTTATGGTAGAGAGTGGAACAGATGGGGCAGAGGGGAGATTTGTCTGCAAGGCTCTCTGGCTAGTAACCATCACCCTAATTCTTTCCCCAAAGCTGTTGTCTTTGAACTTACGCAACAACAAGCTGTACCAACTTGATGGCCTGTCTGACCTTATACAGATAGCCCCCACAGTCAAGATCTTGAATCTCTCCAGAAATGAGGTAAGAAGCGGTAGCCAGAGGTATCCAGGTTGGGTTGAGAGTGGTGGGTGGTACTCATCACAGTGATGATAATGGGCAGGCAAAGATACCAGAGTGGGAGGGAGGGGATTGCGGTTACAGGGGCCCAGATGTCCCTCT